CAGTCCACAAATAGAGTTCCACGCGAAGATGAAGTCGAGTGGGACTTTGGACCCCGCCTGTCACAAAGCAATCAGTTCAGCCATTTGTGGGAAATGGTCTACAAAATTTTTGTGTACAACACGTAAGCTTCCAGTTTATAACTACTACCCAAAGTAGGAATGCAAAGAACTTGAGCGTTGGAAGCGTTTTTATGAGTTCTTCCAGCGCCCCCAACTGGTTGAAGAGAGAATCGGAACCAGTAGGTATCAAGGCAAGGTCTTCTATCTTTGCAAAATAACGTCAAGCTTTGGCAATTTCCAAGATTCTGTGTTCAGCGACGGCTGGAAAAACCCTAAGTGATGAGGAGTGAGTCTAGTAGGTCTCATTTAACTTAGAGGAAACTAAGTTACCGAAAAGTATTTTGAATTATTTGAAACACACAGCTAATTATCATCAGAGGCAGGAATGTGATCCAGGATTCCCAGTCTGATAGTCTGAAAGTTTCACTACCTTGTCTTTCTCAAAATTATGATGTTCTGTTAACCTACTGATGGTATCAATCTAGAAGTCTTTTCTAATGCACTTTGTATACATTCTTACAACCTGGAAATTGTTCTTATGGAATGGTGTGTTTAGAATGCAGAATTAATCTGTGTTGTTATGAATGAAAGTAATTGTACTATTTTGCTAAATTTCTTATGATCTTGTCATACCTCAGAATGAAGGGTGATTTGATGGCCTTTAGGAATAGCTAATCGAAATACTAATGTGGTTTGAAAACTTTAGGTTTGTCACTTTAATATTGAACATTCATAAATAAAAGATGCACTTTATTTGCTTACTTACGGGAAAAACTAAATCATCATCAATTAGTATTTTGAAGAACCTACTGTGTATTAGGCCTGGCACATAGCGGTTTTGAAGATGTTGTTCCAGGCTTAGCTTTGAGAATTAGAACTGGTTCAAGAAGTAGAAGAAATGAAATAAATAAATATCCATCAGTTCCATTCCTAAACTTTATTGAGCTCCAAACATATCTGGAAAGAGATGGAAGCATCTGGATGAAGGTGTCCTCTTGGAATCGTCTCCTCTTCTCCCCATTTTCAGGCCTCCCTTAGCCTAGAAAGCTCTTTCCCTAGATATGACCATTGGTCATTCTCACATTTCCTTTTTCATTCATTCTAGGAGACACCAGCTACCATGTTGGGAGGACGCTCAACAGCCTCATATAGAGGATTTCATGGACAGAAACCCAATAGCCAAGTGATTGAGTCACTTTGAAGGTAAATCAGCTAACTCCCAGCCTTTGAGTCTTTCAGCTGAGGCCTCAAACATTACAGAACAGAGGCAAGCTTATTGACTGTGTTCTGTCTCATCAGAGATTATTAATGATTATTGCTTTTTTAGGCCAATACATTTTGGTGTTACTTGCTATGCAGCAAACATAGTTGTGGTCCACTGCATTCAGTTCATGTATTTAAAAAAACCAAGGAGGCATTTGTGTCTCAGCAGTGATGGCCTACTGGGCAGTTCATGTAGTACACAGACCTCAGGAAAACAAGCGGCTGGGCCTTTGTGCCTGCTGCCTCGGTCATAGGTCCCCAGAGAGTATGAGAGGGGTCATATGGGCCATTTGCCACAGCATCAGTGCCTTGTCAGAAAACTCTTCATACCATTTCAAGAGCAGAGGACATTGTTCTGGACTTGTCTTGGAACACCAATAAAAAACTCATCATACAGAATGGAGACTTTATTTTTAAGAGCCAAGGAGACAGACGTTTCTGACAGGCCTGATAAGACAGTGTGAAACATGGGCCACTGTGTAATGTGGCCTCTTGGGGCTTAGGGGAATGGTGATTTGAAGCCATGCCCTGGACAGTGAGGGCCAGTCTCAAATCTGTTTTATTAGCATTAGGCATGTTATTTCCTATATGCTAAAATGACTTTGATGGGAAATTTAATTAAACTGCTATTTGTTTCTTTATTTGCAAATCATCTCTAAGTTTTTATCTTCTGTTACTAGGATAAATTAGCCAATAATTGACTTTTAGCAGAATAATAGAGATACATTTCTTAATTTGATATATTTCTCCACTGAAATTTGCTATTTTCTCAAATTATTCTGCAAAGTTTAGATTCATTTACTTTTATAGCTATGGAACAGGGTTTTCAGAAAGACAATAATTCTGCAAATCAGGCATTAGGAAAAGGAGGATTTGGATTGAGGTTGTAGCTTCATGGTACCATATGTGAAGTTCTGCATTTGATCCCTAGCACTTCCAAAAAAAAAAAAAAAAAGGGAGAGAGATTTGTTTGAAAAAAAGAAAATGAAAATGAGATTTTTGCTAAAGTACTTAAGTATATCAAGAACCATGCTTGGAAGATGCAAATCGTGGAGTTTCTTCCACAATGCAAGGATGCAAGGATGATAGTTCTTTGACCTGTGGAGCAAAGCCAACAGGTTTGTTGACAGAAAAAGGAAAATTACAGAGAAAGTAAAAAGCCCCAAATTGGATTCTTTTGGCCATGAAGGCTGGAGGGGTTAGTGGATTATAAGAGGAGATATAGTTTGACTCAGGGGTTGACACCCTATTCTCATCCCTTTTCACACTCTTTTTCCAGGGCTTAACTTTGAGGAAGTCCGAGAACACTGAAGTTAGTGGTCCAGGATTAGTGAGAATGTAGACCCCTTAGAGAATTCCAGTCCTCAGTTTAGGTCCATGCCCATTCTAGTCCTAAAAAGATGGCAAGAAGGAGACAATAAAAGGTTCCTGGTTCTTTGTGGTCCAGGATCACATACTCCAGGACCCGTGGGAGTCAGAAATCTGAACACTGTCAAATAGGACCAATTTAGTGAGGAGCCATGCTGCCACTGCCGTGGAGATGAGAAGGTCCAGTAGAAATAAGCCCATCTGAGGACTCCTTTATCTTCCTGATGTGCACTGATCTGACCACACTGGTAATTTATGGCAAAAGTCTGTTCTAATAAATGTGGATTGTTTAATAGTATTAGAGGGCAAGTAAGAACTCTTAAAGAGAGAATTTTATCCAAAGAGACTGACTACCTACCTACAGAGATGGCTAAATATTATTTGGAGTAAAGTAAACATATCAGATTGAACTAAAATTAAATTGTCCTTATCTCTGTACTTTTGCCCCTAAGATAGGGATAACCTATAAGGATTATAGGATCTATTAATTGGATATAAGCCAACTACACTGTTTCTGTATGAAATTCAATGAACTTGCGACTTTGTAACAAACTCCAGTAGACAGGAGATAGAAAAGATGCAGGGACTTCCATCCCAACTTATATCCATGAGTGTGCTAAATTCTACGTGCTCAGGGCATTGTCTCTTCAATACCTTGGATAAGTGTCTGGCATATGGTGGGTACTAACTAGGTATTTATTGAGGAAATGACAACTCCAGGTAGACTCTCAATAGAATTTCAACAAAAGCAGTATGTCACATACTGTTGGGGACCAAGCCCTAGGTTTAAGGAAGCATTTCCTTATATGCCTCTTGCTTACCTTGCTATTTTTTAAAATTATACAACTTAAAAATTTTAACAAACAAAAATTAGACATTAAGATATAAAAATTAATTAAAATAAAAAAACAAGTTAAACTACTCTGCAGTATTAGAAGTCATGATGACGGGTATCCATGGGAGGTAGGTGGGAGTTTTGATTAGATGACGATGTAGGTTGGAGCTATTCTGTGGTTTGCTCTGGATGTTAGTTATATAGGTGTGCTTGCTTGGTAAAAATTTGATGAGCTATATACCTATGACTTCTCACCTCCTTGGATTTATGTTGCACTTCAATATAATAAGTAAACACTATGTTGTAAGTTGCATCCATGCTTATATACTTAGGCAAATTCCAATAATCAAATGGTAATATCATTTTAAAATTTGGAAAATTCATGTTACTAATTATTCTTCAGAAAGTGTATATCAGTTTTGACTCCAACGGAAAATATATATAATATGATTTATTTGCCTTTTAGTTAGTACTTGCTATTGTTTTTTCTAATTTTCAATGATTGTAAAGAATGAGTGTATATTTTCCTCTCCAACTTTTTATATTGCAAGATTTCAATTTTACAGAGAAACTGAAAGAATAATATGATAGATAACCATATTCATTAGATTCACCAGCTTTTATTATTTTGTCACATTTGCTTTCTACACACACGTGTGCGCACACACACACACACACACACACATCCTTTGAGGTTAGGAGTATAGTTCAGAGATAAAGTCATGCCTTGCTAGTACCTGGGTTTGATCCCAGCACCCCCACACCCAAGATCCCCACTCAAAAAATATATAAAATAAAATAAAATAAAGTTTTAGACAGTATGACAATTTGTCCTTTAATGCATCATCCTTTTTTTATTTTTATTTTTTTTACCTAAAACATCTCCCCCCACTACCTCAACCTGCTTTTGCACAATATTGAAATTTTTCTTTAAGTCTAGGTCACTGGAAAACCTGTTTGTTTTCAAATGTGAGTAGCCAGGCTTGACTTTGCAGGCTCATATTACAAAATTATTGTAGGTTTTCAGAAGCACGTGTATCAACAACTGAAACAAATTTTCACTTTTGGCCATTGGTTAGTCAGAGCAAGTCACTGGATCTCCAGCCAGGCACCAGATGTTTTTGCTGAGGAGAGAGAGAGAAGAAAAGAAAGCGCATTAAGAGTTTTTAAGTCTTACATTATCACTTTGATCATATAGGAAATAGTAGTGACATTTCATGCTCCTAAGTATATCAAGGGAGCCTTCCTTCATTTCGACACTATATATTACTGAATGGATCAGCTACTCTAGAACCAGTTTAAAGGACCTGAAAATGCAGTGACAGCCAAGAAGGATATTTTGAAGTTTGAAATGATCCTTATATAAATAGAACGGACCAGCATAACTTTGGGATAAAATTAGCCGACAGTTTGTGGACTCTCCAGCCTGTGCTGTTTGCTCGGTGCTGCTCTCCTGATAAATCACAAGCTTCCAGATGGAGCAGAGGATGGACGGCACTACTGCCCCTATCACTAAATCTGGAGCTTCCAAGTTAGTTAAGAGAAATTTCCTTGAGGCTCTAAAGTCAAATGACTTCGGAAAATTGGAGGCTATTTTAATCCAAAGGCAAATAGATGTGGACACAGTTTTTGAAGTTGAAGATGAGAATATGGTTTTGGCATCTTACAAACAAGGTAAAAAAAAAAACAGATAGAGGTGTAACTGTGAAAATGATAGAAAATAGATTTATTTTTTAATGCACAGTGTCTGTTACTTATTCTAAACCAGTAGCACTTATTGTTTAAGTATTTATTTTAAAATTATTTCTAATTTTTATCTTTTATTTCTTTCTAAACTAGAATGCATATGGGCTGATATATATGTCTTATATATTATATATCTATACGTCTCTTTTTCTATATACATATATGTTTACTATAGACATTATATCCTTTCCTTTTCTTTCTTCACCCCTATGTTTAGAATTGGGAATCCTGGACAGTCATATTTAGTACTGCACTGTGTGCCTGTAACTTTTCTTCTGACTGTGATGACATAGAATAAAGAAAAATATCTCTAGAATGTGGTTAAACAGACTACTGAGTCCTAATGCAGACAATGTGGCTGGTTATAGATAGGCTGTTATTCTCTGTTAACAGCCACTTGAAGATGTTTCTTCTCTATGTCCATGTGGATGAAAAAGAGGGCTTTCTTCCCCAGTTGGAAGGTTAATGAATGGAGCATGCTGTGCCAAAAGCACCTTGATGGTCTTTTTTATTTTAATGAGTTTCAGGTAAGACACAAAAGCTGAACTCAGAAAACCAAAAAAGTTAACTTCTTTTCTTGGACTAGATTAGCAGATCAAAGTTGCAGAAATGCTAAATGCAGAGTATCTGCTTTAGACAAAATGAAGGGAAACAAAAAGTTATATCAGAGATTTTTTTAAATCAAGGTGTTCTTTCTGGAATCCATGCTTATCAGAAATAAATTAGCATGTTGATTCTAATTTCCCAAATCATGTAGTTAATGGAGGCACTTGAGCAGTTAGACTACAAACAAATACCCTGTTCACCATCACTTCTGTTTAAATAAAATGGGTGAGAAGTTCTTCTGTATTTCATCTAGAGAGAGAGTGTGTAATTATTTTCCATGTTTAAAATGTTTCTGTTCAGTACCACCAATTTCCAGATACAAATGCGAATGTTATTCTACACTAATTCACTCTCCTCTGATTGTCAGTTCTGAAGGGTACACAATAGTTGAGGCCAGTTACTGTGTTCATATGTGAGGGCTTTATAATAAATTGGCTTTGCTATTTTGGCTGGAAGATAAAGAAGTGGTCTAGCTTTTAAAATTTGATGGGAACTCTGTTAAAAAGAAAAATGAGATGATATATAATTAGATTGCTTTATCTTATGACTTCATTTGGTGAAAGAATGTCTCAAGGCTAGCTACATTTTAAAGGTATTTTTGAAACTTATATTTGTGTCCAATGAAAAATAACTCGGGTTCAAGCCAGTGGGTAGTTTATTTGACCTGAGTCACAAAGACTGCCTTTTCTCATTTCCTGAGCAGCCAAATTACCCAGATCCTGCAAAGGTTCTGAGGTTATGAGAAAGTAACTTGGAGGTGCAGGCTCTTGGGAAGCAGTGTTTTTTCTGTTGTTTCAAATGGTGTCATCACCCTGAATGAGAAGAGAGTGTATTTTAAATTCTTGTCAAGTGAACAGACTCCGATGATCCTCATAGACCTACACTTTCATTCACGCTAATGGGTGTTTTCATAGTGTTAGGAATATGGGATGTGGCTTTCAATTAGGAGAAAGCAAATTACACAGTATGAAAAAGGAATGAAGCATTTCCAGTCTTATGCATACCAGGTAGGTATCTGCACAGAAATAATAGGGCTTGTGGTCATATCTTCAGGGTTTGTGCAGGAATCATTTGTGTGTCTGTGCCCATGAGCACACCGAAATACACTTACTCTCTGTTTAACATGAATATGAGTGTAAAACTGTCTTCTTTAGTCATAAACCCACTGGAAAGCTTCCTCTTTCTCCAAAGTTGCTGCAATTTTTTTTCACCTGCTTCCAGCTTAATTATCAATCCCCTCAAAATTAAGGTCAGGAATGGAAATAGAATCGTAATTGCTGAATGGGCAAAGTAGCTCTAACTCACAAAGAAGTTCTCAGGGGCAGCGGAGAGCTGAGTAGAATAGAACTGCTTAGTTAATTAGCGAGTTCTTTTTTGAATCATTCTCTAGGATAGGACCTATTTCTGTGTGAGGTTGAAGGATATGTGGTTGACTTATAGTTTTTGATACTTTATTAAATCAAAGCAGAACTTTTGGACATTGAACAGTGTTAAACTGCTATATGCTGCTCTTTGATTTTTTTAAAGCACATTAAAAAACTTGTACGAATAAAAAGTGAATGAGAAAAATGTATAAATTGTAAGTATGAAGCTTGATTAGGTTTCACAAAGGAAACAAGCCTGTGCAACTTGTATCCAGACAAGGAAACATTACTGTTTATTTTTAAAGGATGCAAATTTTCAGCTTTTGGTCATTTTGGGTTTCCTAAGCAAGGCAATGTACGAAACCTGTAATGGATATATTATATTTCTGCATTATATTTATCCATTCTGTAATGGATAATATATTTCTGCATACACCTTGATTAACAGTGGTACAATTAATTACAAACCATTTTTCCCTTTCTTTAAAACATACTGAAGCATTTTTTCATAGGATTTTAAAAAGTGATTAAATTTTATTTCTAGATAGAGTATGTTTAAGTCAATAAGAAAATCATTATCATTTTTGGAAAGGTAACTCACAACTCTGCTGGGAAGGAAGTCAACTTAGGATCTGCACAGTATTCCCCAAATGCACAATCTAGTAAGTACACCAGTAATTACAATTTGACCTCACGAGCCAGTAGGAATTTTGTCAGGAAGACAGAGCAAAGTTCTTCAGTTAGAGAGTAAGGAAACTGGTTTCTGCTTCTCTCTATGGCATCCAGCTCCTCTCATTCAGCAGTTTCTCCTATGGCCCAGCAGAGACAAATTTGAAGCTAACCCCTGCTCTCACCAAAAAAAAAGAGGTTAGACCCCAGAGCCATGCTCTCCCGCTGTCTGGACTTTGCCTGCACTAGCAAGGATTCTTCAGATTTGAGATCTTACTTCATTTTTCCAAGTTATTTTAAGCTTCATAATCAAATCTTCACATAAAGTCATGTTTTATTATTATTATTATTATTTTAAAAAACGCTTCTCTCACTTTGTAAAGCAAATAATAAAAATATGCCTGTTGACATTTGTGAGACTTCCCAGGGAATGGCAGGCAGAACAAGCAAAAACAAGTAAACAAAGTATCATTTACCAGAGGAGCAATTGAAAATAAGAATGACATAGAATAAACATAAATACATGAATGAAATTTTAACTACTGGATGTCTTAAGTAGTTGAGTAGTCAAGGGATGGCATGATATCAAGTTTATTCTGAGACCAGCAGACAGTTTTTAGAGTGAAAGCAAACTGGAAAGAAATCTAAGGAAGCTCAGAGGCCCTTCATGTTGGTTCCCACTGGTGGCCACGGACTGGAAACATGAACGGAAGTCCGTAAAGCCGTTTCCAAGGGCTTTTCCAAGTTCACAGTGTGATTTTTCCTCAGCTGTATGAACGCCAGCTCATGAACGATAGAAGCAAAATATCACACTCATCTTTTTGGTAGGAAATTCCCTACTCAGCAAGGTTAATCAGAGTCCTGTCATTAAGCAGTGCAATACACTTTAAGAATTTCATATATGGCCCACAGTCTCTGGTTCCTTGGTTGGGATTCATATTTTTAATTTAAATAACCAATGAATGATTTCACTTGATAACTTTCTGGCAGTTTTATCATGAAAATATGATGAAAATTTTATTTTCACTTTCCTAATAAATAATGTCTTCATCACCTAATTTTCTTTTTTACCAGAAACTTCCTGTTTTCCTATTATTATCCCAAGGTTATTTCTCCTTCCTAGTTGTTCCATTTCTTTTTCCTTTAAAGTTTTGCATTTCAAGCTAGCTACCTCGCCCATCCCCAGGGGAACTCAGAGAATTATCCTGAAAATATTAGTTATTAAAAAATAGCCAAGAATTGTGCTTCAGTCTATAATCCTTCAGGACTGTGTAAATAGGTGGGCGCAGGCAGAGCAAATGTCTGCTAATCCGGGCACGAGCAGTGTGTGTAATGTTTGGCTGTAATCACAAAGACTTCTCTGCTGTGGGATTCGTTTGACTCAGATAACATTATAGTTGATAACTTGTAGAGCCAGGGCTTTGCTGAAATGTTACTAGATTTATGTATATCTTTCCCTCTTCTACAAAAATGGCCCCCACACTTTACTCCTTACCATAGTTCTCCAGCGAGGGGACTTTCCACCCAGTCACACAGTCATATTTCTTTGGTTTCAGATTTAAATTAAACAAGTACAAAGCACACATAAGAGATAAGTCTACATATTTACATAAGGATAAAACTTCTAAAATTCCTGTAAAACTTTTAGCTGCAAGCAGTTCCAACTTGGAAGTGAACTGTGCATCGCTTTCAGATCATAGATGGCTACTTAAAGATTTTTGGGAGGGCTGAGTTTGAGAGTTTGACTTTGGTCACTACCGTTTATATGATACTTTCTACTCCTTAACCCCTATCAGATTAATTATCCTCCTTTGTAAAATGAAGGCTTTGCCAAGACTGTAAGTTCCCTGCATGTTGATAATCTGTTATGTTATTTATGAAAGTGAAATTATCCAAAGCAGATTGTATATCCGGGTCTAGAGAAGGTGAAAGGTGACTGACAATGCTATAAAGTGCACGTGGGCCTGGCTGTATATGCAACTTCCCTGTGGGATTTTTGCATAGGGGAAGACTTTGTATTTTCTGTTCTTGACTTCATCTCAGTTGAGCCTGTCACTGAAGCTGGGTTCTTCTTAAAGTGCCCATCACTGTGGGCAGACTGTACACAAGGGGAGTCCTTTGAAAGACAAATACTAAGAATAAATCACATTCTAGATTTGGGAGCCCTGGGAAAAGGGTGCTGTGAGAAGAAAGGGGAGATTTAAAAAATGAATCTACCTGTTCAACTTTACTGTGCTTCTACATGCTGTGACTACTAGTGGTTGTATTTTGGGGGGCAAGTTCTGTTCTCTTGGCATATCAGTGTCAATACCAGTCTGTTAGTTAGCACAGTCTCGTCTTGGGTGTTGGGAAACCACTTTACCTCATTTTGGTCATCCATAAGGGTTGTTGTACTTATTCTCACACTTCTGCATGGTGATAGTGACCCAGGGCACCAGCCTCATTTTAAGGTGGTGATGGCATGTGGTGGCCCCTTTGCTAAGGGCTGCTCTTTTCTCTACTCAGCATAGCAGGGTTTCCTGTTCTGCTCTTGGTGGAATTATCCAGAACTGCCTCCCTCCCACATGATAACCAAAGTTCTGCAGGACTGTTGTTAGCATACCCTGAGCCATATATAGTCTGTCACCGTCTTCTTTGTCAGCTCCCCAGGAACGGCAGCTAAGGTGCCTTGTTGCCCCTAAACCACATACATGCCCACCTAGGAGAGGTGAGTTGTAGGCACAGATCCATTGTAGTGCTTGACTAAATTCCAGGACCTAGTGGTCTGTGGACCTGTTATCACCTAAGGACTATGATTATAGGACACATCAGTGAAACTGACCTCAGAGGCCAAGGATGACAGATTCATGTAATAAATAGGCAAGAGAAATTCTTTAGGTGCTATGGTGAATTTAGGAGGAAGAAAAAAACCAACAGTAAATGCATTTTCATATCAGAGATGTGACATATTATAGATGAATTCAGAATCGTCTTCCTTTCTCTGTGATCTGCAAAGCAGGCTTGGAGCTAAACCTATTTCGCTTCCACAAAGACAAAGACAGATGGAAAGTCCGTATTGCAGATATGCTGGGTCTGTGAGCTTGGACTGAGGCAGGCGACTTAGGGCTCTAGCAGGCTGAAAAAAGTGGCAGTTTTCTCATCTGGAAAATGAAAGGCTTGGACAGGATCATCTTCCCCCCCAGAGCTAACATTCCATGTTTCTTTGATTTTGTATCAAAATGGTGTTTTCTTAATCAGCTCTCTGCTGCTTCCGTCAGTAGATCGTTTTTCTTCCATTGCAGAAGCACGAGTCAGTTTCCAATCAGTTGTAGCTCAGAGCCACCTAAGCTTTGCTACTAATCAGAAGTAGCAAAATGCACCCTGGGTTTCAGATATGGAACCAGCTTCTTTCCAAGAGAGTTAGAAAAAACTGTCTTCACAGATCGCTTGTGGGGAAAAGATGAGTATTAAGATGACTAAGTATTGGTTTTAATGTGATGTATTCTTTATCAAAAAGCAGGCTGCGTAGTATATAGCAAAGATCTCTGCTTGGAACACAGACTCAATGTACACAACTAAATAGAAATGTCTAAACACAGCACACCCCTACATTGTGTGTTCATGGATCTCACACACACACACACTATAGTCTGACTAGGATAGGATGGACTCAGGACACGTGGCTCTCTCAGGGAGAACACTTTTCACTAAACACTATCTGCCTTAGATCTGAACTCTCAGACCAGTACTTAGACCTTTAGTCTACTGGCTGAATGCAGATTCCTACATAAATTCAGAGAATCCAAAGAAGGAATCACACTTTAAACAATCTTCAGTCTCTAACCTTAATATGAAATAAATGGAATTCTTTTGAATGGGCAAATTTGAGTACAGGAAAACATGGAAAGGGGAGAAGGCAAGATAGCCCTAGGTTTCTGAATGGATTACCAAGAGAGAGAGGGAGAGGAGAAGAAAGAGAAGGTTAAAGGGTAAGCTGTAGACCAGAAATGATCATAATATTTTAGATTTATTCTGACCCCATCCAATCAGCAAAGAACACAAATTTTACTTCTCTTGTTCTGGGCACTGCACTTTTATTAAAGTGGGTTAAGATTATGTTAGTTTTGTGGCAGTTCTATCCCACTGTTGGCTCATTTTGAGATTACTGTCAACTCAAATCCTTAGGACTTTTCTCAAATAAATGACCACTAAGCATATTCTGTTTTTACTTGCAAGTAGAATTTTTGTAGCCTAAAAGCAAGCTTTTGATTCATCCATGTTAAAATTTATTTCGTTGTTTTAGTCCTCAAGTCTCCACGAGGCTGTAAAGCTATTGCTACATCTTCATCTTGCCATCAGTATTTCATCTTCCTCTTCCTGTTTTCCATTGCCCACTCATAGTGAGGTTAAGTGCTGTGGCACGTGACTGATATTGATAGAAAGGTTTCTAAAGTCAACAAGCTATAGCTTATCAAGCAAAGCAATTGTTGGAGACTTGCAGACTAAAGGAGTAGCTCAGTATATTAAAAATTTGAGTCAGAGGAGAGGGAGAGAGAGAGACCATTCCAACAACTAATAAGAAAAATTTTCTCTTGCCTGATTATGTATAGTTGTGGGCATAGTTGAGTGTAACACATTGGGGTTTTTTTGTTTGCTTTGACTGCCAGAAAGTCCAAAGGCAAATTTGCAGTGCAATTCTCCTGTACTGGACATAGTTTATATTTTGCATACTTATCTTACTTTTGGCATCTTTTTATTTTCCTTTTTCTTTTCTTTGCCCTTGTTTACTAGATCATTCTAAAAAAGTGTTGTATTGTGTCAAGATTTGTAATTTGCCTTTTTTTCCCTTGGAAAGAGATTATGTATAAACCAGCAGGCAAGCAGATAAAACCTTTAAAAAAACTTTAAAAATACTAAACACATTCACACTTTGGACTGACAACAATAAAATAGAGGGAAAGAATTGAGATGGAATAAAATTACAAGCTTGTAACTAAGGACTTTGGGGTCATTCAAGACAAACTCTCAAGGATTGGGAGTTTAAAAAAATTCTGAAGAGTCTCATGTAACTTGCCATGTAAAATAAAGTGCATTAATACATGGAGTTCTTAAACTAAATACCTTTGAAGGTGGGGCATGGTGGCCACACCTGTTATCTCAGCACTCAAGAGACTGAGGCAGGAGAGTCATGAGTTCAAGGCCAGCTTGGGTTGGCTTCCAATAGCAGCAGCAACAACAGAACATTGGCGATTCAGAAAAATAAAATAAAAAAGGAACAAAAGAACAGGAATATAGATAAAGTAAGAAGTAGAAAATTCCTTACCAATTTAAGTACATCTAAATATGGAGACCATCAGCCCCTAGTCTAAAACCTCTGTGTCATTTCTCCCTCATTTTTGATAAATATAACCACAATCTTCACGTAACAGGGTGAAATCCTAGGCTAAAAAGTTAAACTTGCCTTCCTTTTCTTTCTCAGGTTATTGGTTGCCCAGTTATAAGTTGAAATCTTCCTGGGCAACAGGCCTGCACCTGTCAGTCTTATTTGGTCACGTGGAATGTCTTCTGGTGCTACTGGACCACAACGCCACCATCAACTGTAGGCCCAATGGCAAAACTCCTCTCCACGTTGCTTGTGAAATGGCTAACCTGGACTGCGTGAAGATCCTCTGCGACCGTGGAGCAAAGCTCAATTGCTACTCCCTAAGCGGACACACGGCTTTGCACTTCTGCACCACACCAAGTTCCATTCTCTGTGCCAAGCAACTGGTGTGGAGAGGTAAGCCTTTCCGGGTGGCTGACATTGTCATCTGCTTACATGTTCACAGTTTTGGGACTTAGTTATCTCCCCTTATCTCAGGCATTGTGATAGGAATGCCTGAGCCTTAAGCTTAGTTCAGAAGCCCTAAAATGTAGGGCCCCTGCACACACACACATACACACACACACACACACACACACACACGTATTTAACTGAGGTCATTCAGTGATGGTCACATTGGAATCTTACTATTTTTTTTTTTAGTGTAGGACATGCATTAACTTAACACATATTTATTTAGCTCCTAATATGCATCAGATAATGTGGTAAGTAAGTGAAAAAGAGGAAATACTCCTTACCTCAGAGTATATAGTCCAGCAGGAGATATAAAAATGAACAAAATACATTCTTAAATATATAATTTTAAGTGGGATGGTGATACCAAAGGGAAAACGATGAGCTGTGAGAGAGAATGTCAGAGTGAGCTATTTCAACATGTGCAAAGATTTCCCTAAGGATAGGATGAGGACGTGCAAGCTGAAAGCTTAAGAATGAGAAAGAGCTAGGGATTAAAAAGGGAGGAGTAGCTGGGCACTGGTGACTCACCTGTAATCCTAGCTACTCAGGAGGCAGAGATCAGGAGGATCAAGGTTCAGGGTCAGCCCTGGCAAATAGTTCCTAAGACCCTATCTCAAAAATACTCAACTCAAAAAACGGCTGGCAAAATGGCACAAATGGTAGAGTGTCTCCAAGCAAGCATGAGGCCCTGAGTTCAAACCTCAGTACCACCAAAACAAATGAACAAAAATAATAATAATAATAAAAAAGGAGGAGTGTGGGTGGGTCTAGTGCAAAGTGGCCAGGAGAGCTTGGATTATTAAACAAATGGCCCGAGTGGGGTGTCATGGGAGGGGAAGAGGGAAGAGGGGAGTGCCACAAGATGACATTGGATATGTTAAATCATACAGGCTTCTGGAGGCTGAACTGTGGGGTTTGAAAATGCAGATATTGGAAGGTTTTAAGCAAGGCAATGACATGGTTTAACTTTCACTCGAACTCATCATTCTGGAGTTATATAGAGAGGAGGCTGGAGGCAGGTGGACAGCAGGGGAGTTGCTGCCATGGGCTAGGTGGGAGGGTGGGGCTGGCACTCAGGGGCAAGCTGGGTGGGAAGATTGGAAGATGGGTTTGCAATGTACATTGGATGCAGAATTGATGGGATTTGGAAATGGATTAGATGGGGGAGGGAAGGGTGAAGGAAAGAAAGCTCCAAAGATGGTTGCCAAGTCCCTAGTTTCAGAAAAGGGGCAGATAGATGGTAATGCTGCTTCTAGAAATGGAGAAACTTGAGGAAGAAGTATGTATGTGGGCGTGATTGTTAAATGAGTTTTTTTAAAAAGCCAGGTTAATAGATGTTTAAGTTACATACAGAAAGAGCCTCAGCAAAGTTCACTATTTCTTGAGGAAACATTATTTTCATGACATTTCACCATGATCATCTTAAGAAGTTCCATAATGCCTTTGGTAGTTATTCCTTCCCCCTTGGTCTCCACCAACCACTGATCTGTTTCCTGTCCCTATAGATTTGCCTTTTGCAGAATGTCACATAAATTAAGAATATAATACATAGGCTTTGAGTCTGTCTTCTCCCACTTACCATAATGCCTCTGAGGTTCATACATGTGATTGTAGTTAACCATTCCTTTTCATTGCATAGTACTATTCCATTGCATACATGCAAAGCAGTCCATACACTTCCCAGTTGAAAGGCATTTGGGATATTTTTCTATTTCTTGTCAATTCTGGGAAAAAAACCCATTGATATAAACATTTGCATACAGGATCTTATGTGGACATGCATTGTTTCTTTAGAATAAAGACCAAGGAGTGAGATAATGGGATATATGGTAAATTCATAAGAGACTGCCATATTGTTTTCCCAGGTGGCTAGACCATGGTATTTTCCACCAGCAATGTGTGAAATTCCAATTGCTCCCTATCCGTGTCAAAACTTGATAATGTGAGATATGAAAAAATGTTTTAGCCACCTAATAAGAATAAACTGGAGTTGCATTGTGGTTTTAATCTGCATTTCCCCAATGATGATGGTGTTGGGAATTTTTCAGGTACTCATTTGCCAGCTGTGTGCTCACTTAGGCGAAATATCTGTTCATGTCTTTTTTGATTCTCTCTCTCTTTTTTAATTGGGTTGTTTATGTTTGGGTTTTCTTATGACTGATTTAAGAGAACGTTTGCATAGTCTGGACACTCAACCTTTATCAGATATGTAGCTTATATATATTTTTGTTTATTCTTTGGCTTTTCTTTTTCTTTTACCCAATAGTATCTTTTAAAGAGCAGAAGTATTTAATTTTGGTAAATTTGACTTATCAATGTTTTCCTCTTATGGTTTATGTTATTTGTGTCCTATCTAAGAAGTCTTTGACTATATCAGGTAAAAACATTTTCTCCTAGCAATTTTATAATTTTAGGTTTTACATGTAGAACGAAGATTCATTTTGAGTTCGTTTTTGTATACCATGTGAGGTATGTGGTAAAGTTTACCTTGTTAACAAAATATGGATGCTCAACGTTTCAGCACTGTTTGCTGAAAAGACTATTCTCTAACCACTGAACTGCTTTTGTATCTTTAGAAAGAATTGGTTGGCTACATAGGTGTGGGCTTATTTCTGGACTGTTCTATTGATCTATATATGTATTGTTTTTGTTAACGCTCCACTGACTTGACTGCTGTAGTTTTATATAAAGTCAGGTGGAGTAAGTCTTCTAAATTGGTTTTAAACATGAGAAGTTTCAGGTGCCTTTGAGACTTCAAAGTGAGAAGTTGAGAATTCTTTTTATTTAAAAGTATGAATGTCAAAAGAAAGTTCTGGACAAAAACTACAACTTTCAGAATTGTTGATCTATAGCTTGCATTTGAAGCCAATGAAATCATGTGGGTAGAGAATATTTATACCAGGTGTTATCAAACACCCAGCATTCAGGAAGCCAGGGCATGAAGATCTTGAGTTCAAGGCCGCTTTGGGGAACATAAGGATCTCTAGGTCAGCCTGGGTCACTGGGCCACATAGTGATACCCTATATCAAAAAACAAAGCAGAAGAAACCCCCAAAGAATGCACATAGAGAAGAGTGAACCTAGTGCGAAGATCTGAAGGATTCTAACATTTGGACTTTAGAGTGACAGGGAGGGGCCAGAGGAGGCGCATGAGACAGACTGATAGGAGAAGTTAGAGTGGTGCAAGTGATAGAGTGTCTGCCTAGCAACAAAAACCAGTTGGAGAAACCTAAGCATTTTTGCCAAGGAAGAGGTGCGTTCAAGAAGCAGGGAGTGGCCAGCTGTGTGCATAGCTGTCAAGGTTTAATGAGCTATTGCTTCAGTTAGGTGACAGCATTATTGCTGACAAAGAGAGTTTTGGTGAGATGGTGAAGAAGTCAGATTGGAATGGAATGAGGTGTGAACAAATGGATGATTAGAAACTAGAGATGGCATTTGTAAAAGCAGAAGACAATTGTTAAATTTGTTGGGCTGGTGGAGTGGCTCAAGTAGTAGATAGCCTGTTTAGCAAGTGGAAGGCCCTGAGTTCAAACTCCAGTACCACAAAAAAAGGAGAAAGTTTGCTTAGAAAAGTGGCATGAGAATAGCATGGTTATAGAGGAAGCTGTGGGGGCCATTGGTGATGACAGGGACTGCATGTAGGCCCAGGGAAATGATTTGTAGAAAGAAGACAATTGAAGATGCACGTGACAGGGTTATTGCAAGATTCCAATCTTTAGCAAGTTGAGATGAGACGAAATCCAGAGACCCCCAAGACACATCCTCATTTTTAATAAGTGGTCCACAGCTAACGATGGCTTTCAGTGCCAGAGCATTTATGGATTCAGTGATGGTAAGAGGGACTGCATATCTGATGGTTTTCCTCTCAAAAATATTGAGACAAAGTCATACCAAGAAAGGAAGGGGAGCAGAAAAGGGGACTCTTGATTAGAGTACGGGAGGAGTAGAAAGGTTACTGGGACAGATGGGAGAAAATAGTAGGACTGGTGGGCTCACAAAAGGTGCCAAGAGCGTCTCACACTGTGGGAATGAAGGAGAAAACATCAGCTTAGCCCAGTCTCCATCTTGCCAGCCCTAGGAGGAAGAGCCTGGCACAGGTAGGCATCACTTGGTGCTTACCAGGCTTTCTATGTGTGGCCCTCTCCCCTTCGCAATTTACTTCTTATTTTTGGATTAAGTTTTATTTTTTATTAATATTTTAAGTAGTTTAAAATTTTTAGATTAAGAAATTATGTATTTGTTAATTTTTGTTTTAAAAAATTTTTGTGGTGGAAACATTTCAGATCTACCCTCAGCAACTTCCAAGTGTACCATACAATATTATGAAGGCTAGTCTTCCTGCTATGCAGTGGATTTCAGGAACTTATTCATTCTGCATTATGGAAGCTTTACTTGCTTTTTGTACTGCTCCATGTGCCCTCCTGGAGCACAAACTGATAGGTAGCACCATCCCCTAGCCTTTCCTAGCAGGCACAGTTACTTTTCATTTCTTCTCTCTCTCTCTCTCTATTTGGCAGTACTGGAGTTTGAACATGCTTATAGGCAGGCACTCTACCACTTGAGCCTCTCTGTTAGTCCCCCATTTCTTTTTGTTTGCTTGTTTTGTTTTTGAGACAAGGTCTTGCAGTATGGCCTTGAACTCATGATTCTCCACCTCAACTTCTTAAGTGCTGGGATTACAGGCATGCTGCTGACTATCCCATCTCTTTTATCCCTGCCAACAGAGTGATAACCTAGAGATGAGAAGGAGTGAGAGGTAGAGGAGGTCACAGACACCCATGGGCCAACACCAATGAATTAAGCTCATTACAAAGAAGGAGAAAGAGTACAGCTCCATGAAAAATTTACTTGTTCCTTGGACACATGGCATCAAAGGCTGAATCAAGGAAGAAAAGAAGGAAAAACTTAGAGAAAGCAAAAATATTCAACTTTTGTGTGGC